GCCCTGCGCTTGCAAAAAAAAAAACTACCACAGCTATGCTTCGTGTTGCCATTACCGTTTCTCGTCAGCACACTTTGCGTTTAGACGCCCAGTACTTGGCCTTTTGAACAGTTTGGACAGGATTTGAGCCGACCTTTTTAAGGGAGTTCGAGGCCAGCACAGTGAATCACGCTGGCATAGCCACGAACCTAACTGCACCCGAGTTTGTTTGCCACATCTTCAATTGCATTGTCACCCATACTCTTTGATTGCATTGCCACTATCATTCTCACCGTGAATACCAAAACTTATTGTTGTGCTTCTTATCGCCAGCAGCGCCGCTTTTGACACTGCATGAGTGTAGCTTGTTGGCCGCCCGTGGCATGCTCTATGCTGTTCCCCTTTGGATTTGTCGGCTTGACTTTTTCTCTACTCCTGCTACTGACCTCCTGTGGCATGTCCGCACGTGGAAGATCGTGGAAGGCGACGCTCTTCGGAAAAGCCTGGATCCTGCTCAGCACTTGCTGTACGGGCGACGGCGACTGAATGGCCGCGCCTCGGCTACCTACACATCTTGAAGAGTGTGTCTCGAGAAGGCACGGCCCTCCCTCCGACACCCAACAGATGCACAGTAACATTTTTCTCGTTGCTTTACGGCTGCAATCTGACATACAATAATATGGCCTAACGCCGAAGTCTAATTCTAAGTTTTTCTGCTACGTTTAAAGACTCAAAGGAACCTCATTCTTCTTATCAAAGGCCCCTATAACAGACAAGAGTGAGCTTGTTGCACAGAGAGCGGTGCCATCTTCGAATCATGTCAGTAATGATATGAGCAATCGTTATACTTATACTAATGGTCGTAGCAGTGGTGATAGTAGCATCAGTAGCAACCTTGATTGAAGGATCAGGGCAATGCGCGCTGCAGCCCCTGCTCAAAAAAAGGGTTTCGAGGTTGTTTAGGATTTGGGTGAGCCCTCGCGTTCTTCAAGCCGAAGGTCGATACTGGAGCAGGACGCTCTTCGGACCATCCCGCCATGGGCTTCTTGTGCCGTGAGGCATCAGGGACGGGGAGGGCTTCCGCCACGGCTTAGGACCCTGGGATTGCAAGGTTCGTGCGCACATCAATTGGCTGGGTTTGCACGGAGTTTGGCAGATATCTGTCAGAAGAGACGAACAGAACCCACACTTGCATTCTCGAGAGAGGAGATGCATAGTCTGATGATGCTTGAACCTTCGTAACATTCAGAAAGGTTTGTCGATGCTAGTGTATGTTGTGTTGCTTCGACTTGCACTTTTCCTTGGAACTCAATGCAGAACACAGAGCAGCAATATCGCCCACGTTACCTCGAACAAGCACCTTACACATGGGTGGGCCAATCGGCCCGGGAGACTTGACACGTCTCCTACGCCCCGAAGTGAAGTAGAGAGAGAGGGAGAGAGAGAGAGAGTCAGACAGACCGGCGCGGACCGTGTTGGGGTTGGTTTCCCGGCCGGGGGTTCGCCCCCAAGCCCCCAGCAAGCAAGCAAGCAAGAGAGAGAGAGGAAGGCACGATTGCGATGCTACCGCAGCGCGCCCATGCTGACGACACGATGGTTCCTGAGCGCAGGACCCAGTGAGAGCGCAGCAGACTCGTTTGAAGTGAGCAAGGTGTTCTTTATGCCCCTGGCCTGAGGAGAAAGATCGGCGGCCACCGGGCTTGGACGATGGCAGCTCCGCTGTGAGACCAAAATCACGTAATATGGAGCAGGCGCGGTAGAGAGAATGAGTAAGTGCGGGGCTCGGTGCCGGTGAATATCGGTGAATGACTGACGGATAGGAATTTCTTGCCCGAGCTTTTCGGTTTAAGCCAACAGCAGCATCGACCTGACCTGACTCTCCGGTGGTAGATCGGGCAAGAGGCCATGTCTCCTGGACCTCTCGTGTTGATGATTCTGGCAGGCAGCGTGAACGCTTGCGACGTCTCAGAATGTCAGGATGATTCGCAGGGGCTTCTGCAACTGATGAAAGCAAAGCACCGGGATCCTTGGTGCTCGGCTTCCCCCGGCTGCAGCAAGTTGGGCTTTGCAGGGGCATGTTGCCCAACCGCCGGCGGCGTTTACCTCCACTGTTGTAGAGGTGGAACTTCCCACAATGACACTACTATGCAAAGCACGACAGCCGTGCACAGTAAACCGACAACTTCCTTCAGAACGCAGACTACGCATCTCACTACGACCGAGCCGACAACATCTTACATGACCCAGGCTACGCACACCACCACGACCATCCGCAACCGACCGTCTGCCGCGCAGCTAAGCTGTTCGGGCGAAGGCTTCCTTGATTGTTGGACCTTCTTCACAAAGGCAGACCCTACCCATGGCTACATCCAATACGCAACTCTGCTGATTTTGGCCAGGGTTGTATCTGTGATGTGCACTTTTTCCAAATTGCAGCCGGATATTCAAGAAGGTTTCGCAGAGGGAAGCCATGCAGCTGGGCCTCTACATCTTGCGCGACGGAGCGGTTCGCCTTGGAAGTCTTGTGGGACAAAACCGGCCGGTCAAGGCTCGCGGGATCTCGCTCTCTTGATAGGTGGAAGCTTTCGATGTTCGGTCAACGTGCCACAAGGCTGTGCGACTGCAGTCTAAGATGCGATTCTATGCCGGACACCTGTTTGTGATTGACATCAAGCATATGCCAACAGGTGGGAGGGTGGCATGTAGTGCTTTGCAGATTGTGGCTTCTTCGCGCAGGTGGGGGAACTTGGCCAGCCTGGTGGGCTTATGGACCCGGGTGGCCGAACAAAGGGGAGATCGACATCATCGAGACGGTAAACACAGAGCAGGATGCACAGTCGACCCTGCACACCAGCCCCGGTTGCAGCATGCCGAGCTTTTCCGGGAGCCTTTGCCAATCAGTGATCGCTTTTGATGGTTCTTGTGTGTTTCTGTCGAGGCCGGTGTCTGGGTTTGCATGTCTTGTGGGCCCAGGCTTTTCAATCCCAACTGCAACGCCGGGAGTGCCACTGAGGGCTGTGGAAGACATGGGCCTCCTGGCAGTGGCGGCTCAGCATTCAACCAGAACGGGGGCGGTGTGTTTGCCGCCAAGTGGACCAGCAGCGGAATCAAGATGTGGTTTTTCCCCAGGAACCAGATTCCGGCAGACCTCACCCGTGAAAAGCCAGACTCCACAAGGTGGGGCGAGCCTTACGTGACCTTTCCGTTTGGACCTCGATGTCCGCCCTACCATTTCGAGAACATGGTGCTGGTGATCAACCTGGACTTCTGTGGCGACTGGGCGGGCAATGTGTACCCGGGCGGCAGGAATGTCTGCATGGCCTACGTCAAGAACCCGGCCAATGCAAAAGCTCTTTCGGAGGCATTCTGGGAGATCAACTACGTCAAGGCACATCACAAGATGTACACTTTTGCTGTGCCTAATGATGCCTAATGTCGGAGTTTTCTTCAGAAGTCTTGTTCGCAGCATCGGCTTTGTGCATTGTGCCGCATTGCGCGGAGAGGTCTTCGCAGCTACCTCGGACTCGAGAACAACCTCGAGGCCTTGGGCCGGGACCTGGCCCACAACGTCCGGAGGCGCAAACTTGACATCCGTGGTGGCTTAAGCGGACAAAGCTAGCCTTTTTCCTTTGTACAGGCATGTACAGGCACAGATAGCGAAAGCTGTCTATGTTTCCGGTGCCACCTATATGGGCATGCAGATCACATTTTTGTTGAGGATGTGTGCAACATGTGCAACTCTTGCGCAAGTCCCTTGCATGATAAACTTCCACGGGAAGTTTACCGAGAGTGAATTGAAAGTTCAGGAGGCTGTTGCGAAAAACACTGGATTGACCATCCCCTGCAAGAATCTCCAACCACATGGCAAGGGCTTGGCTCGGATTGTCACAGCGCGACCGGATGCCAGGGCCAGAGGACAGACGGGAGGATGTCGGAGTTGGCCTCCCGATGGACAGAGTCGGAGTTCGAGCGGATCCGCGAGGAGGTCTGTCTGTTGTTACGACGTCGTGGTGTTTTGTTTTCTGCTCTGCCAGGTAAGCATCAGCGGGTAGGAGAAGCATGACCAAGCTATACCAAGCTTCCGCCAAGCCAGTGTTTTTCCTTGGAGGAGGTGGCTGCGGTTCGCCTGCTTCGAAAATGGCACCTCGCCGCGGTGCAAAAGACCTTGTGCGGCGCGCACTAGAACCGTACTTCCGCTGATCTTCGCTCTGCACGTGCTAAAGTGCTTTGTGTAACATACAAAGGCACACGTACAAACAGGTTGTCACATCGTTCCCCGCAGATCTGGCAGCAAGCATCCCCAACCGTTTGGATTGATGAAGAAGTACAGTAGAGGCCTGCTACTAGGCCTGCTAGGCAGACTCCTGAGCATCACGCAAAGAGCGCCCTCTGAGGTCCTTCGCATGACATCTTCTGTTGCAAAAGGAACTGCAGAATTACCATCAGCAGGAGGTAGGAATGGCAGTCTTTGGCTGTGGCGCCCACTTCCATGCCGAAGAAGATGCGCCCGGTGAGTTCGTCGAGCCGGCTGAAGTGGCGAAGTGGATCGATGAGGCTTCGTGCATCGCAGTGGACCCCGGGCTGCATCAAAGGACTCCCTGTTGCACTGTTCGAGTCTTAGGGCTCACCAGATGTCACGAGGTGAGTAGGACTCGGCCCCCAGTCATCTCTTTGATTTCGCCGGGAAACCCCAGCGCGAAATCAACGATAGGTTGATCTGAGCTTTGTACCCTGAGACATGTTCAGTGGTTTAAGCACGAGCCGGCACAGCATTCTTCTGCCCCTGCTGCAAGTAAGGACGTTCGCCGGGGGCTCGGTCGCGTCCAACTGCTACTCTTCATCCTAGAGTTGCGGTCCCATCGTCGATGCGTTTACCAGCAGGCTTGCTGCATGTTCGGCTCTTGCGAGCCTGTTCAGTATTCCAGAGCATTTAAGAGCAAACACGTGGAGCGCTCGCTGGGCATCCCGGTTAGACCTCGTCACGAAGATCCGAGGCGAAGACTTTGAGATCCAGGAGCGCGGTCCGCTTCCAGGCAGGAACGGGAGTTCCGGGACCCTCGAGTCGAAACAGTGAAGCCGTGAGCTTCCGGCTCTGTGGCTGTTGACGGGTCAGGCGCCTTCCAGCTGTCCTCGGGCTCCATCATGTTCGCGAAGCCCGACCTGGCCCGAAGCCTTAGAAGAATTGTGGGCCTGGGCCTAGCAGCTCATGAGCTTCCAGGACAAGAAGCTGGAGTCTCTCCGGCGAAACAGCAAGCCCCTTGTGCCTCCAGGCCGCATGGAGCCGACCCTGGCGCCCGCCCATCCCGACTCCACATCCACAGTAAGGTGCTACACGGACAAAGGCGTCGAGAAGAGCCGCTGCGGCGTTGTCTGCCAATGGTTGGTGGTCGCTCGGTGGAGCTTGGACAGTGAGGCCTTGGCTGTGCATTCCGAGCTCAGGACAAGGGCTTCCCGCCCGAGCGCCTTCGAAGGCTGAAGGGTGGACGCGATGCCTGGCACATGGGCAGGAATGTCGCGAGGCTTTGCCCGCGGTTTCGGGTTTAGGGCGGTGGGGGAATGACTTGGAGTCTGAAGCTCTGCCCAAGTAGACAATCTTCAAGGAGTATCTTTGCAAGTGAACTGCTCAAAGACCGTAGGCCTTAGGCATCCGAATCGGCATGGTTGCACCTAGGCAAGCCGAAGGCTACCCTACATGTGTGCACCCCGGCAGCATCGCAGCGGGGTCAAGAGCCTTCAATCAGAAATATGTACAGAGTTGTAGCAAGAGAGACTCTGTGCATCTCGTGTCTGGCCTTCCTTCTTGCTCGCAGGCTTGCTTCCCTATGCTCAAAGATGAGTGTTGATGCGATGGCGCATGCAGGTAGACGCTCTCGAAAATTGTTGACTGTCGCAGGTATGGCGACGAGATGTGGCAGCTCGCTTCACAGGCGCAGCTGAGCGCCGCCCCCGTGGGCCCATCCCTGAGGCCCGTGTTGTTGCTGGCTTCGCCATGGCCACACATGTCTGTTTCAGAGTCAGATGGTGCTGCCGTTCAGATGCGTTGCAGGTGGCATGTCATCGGGGGAGCCGACAAAGGAGGCTTTGCTTCTCGCTTTGCATCGGGATTCCAAGCTCGGCTTCTGGTGCACGAACTCTGCCATGTCACAAGCTTCACACCCATTACCACCAAGGCCCGGCCCGAAAAGAAGATTCCCCGAAGCACCAGGCTCCTTGCTTTGAGTCCTGCACAGGCATCCTCGTCAGAGAAGGGGCCGCCTTGACGCTGCGCTGGATTATGTCAGTGGTCTTGCGCTTGATCTTCGCGTGTTCAACGCAGTTGCCGAGTTGGGCTCTTGGGTCTGGTCTTGGAACGGACCGGCTGTTTCATCCAGCAAGGGCTCCGTCGGTCAAGCTGTCAAGCCCCGCCTGGTTAAGGACGTCACCGGCTTGCGATGCGCGGCTCGCAACGAGCTCGGTCCTGGAGCAAGTGCAGCTGAAGGGCGAGCGCACCTGGAACTCCACAGAAAGCTTTCGGAGTTGTCTTCGTCTAATCCGCAGCATCATTGTTGTGTCTGTGTTGACATCTGTATGCTCAAGGCAGTATGAGGGTCAGGATGACGTTTGATAGATGATGGATGACTGTCTGCGCTTCTGGTATCTTCTGTGACTGTTGTGTGGAAAGGGGCAGTATCGGTGCTGTCTGGGCAATGGTTGTGGTGGTGGTTGTGATTGCGGTGCTGTACTGGCTTTGAATAGGTGGGCGTCGTGGAGCTCAGCCCTAAACCGTTGAACCCAGCTCGTGTTGGACTCCTCAGGGAACTCCAGGGTTGCGGATTTCTGAAGCTGTTGAATCAAGAGATTGTCTGCAGTTGGGCTGGGCGGGCCTGCGAATCTGGTGCTGCCAAGGACTTTGCTACAAGTGCCTCGGAGGCAGCCGGTCGGATGCCTTGGAGAGGTTTGTCACCAGCAAAGAGCCGAGGCTTCTGGAAGGCCGGTGACCGGGACGGAGGAACGCTGGAGGCTTTTCTTCCCGAGAGCGTCTCGGCAGGTGACGGCCCAAAGATCGGCTGGGTGAGCATCCGCTTGTCTGACAAGGAGCCACGCAACATCATTTACTTTGTCGATGCCCCTTGTACACGCCTCCACTAGCACGTGGTAGACGATACGACCGCAGCTATTCGAGTCATCATTACAGGTCGTTCCGGTGTTGTTGCATGCCGTTACCAGAGAACTCATGCCACGCACATGAACAAGCGCGGTTTCCCATGCTTCCTCACCCCCAGAAGACCTGTGGCGACGCCCAGAACAAACTTCGTGAAGAAAGCCCTGTGCCGTCGACCTCAGGAATATTGGCAAGACGGCCAAGACAACCATTGCGTAGCTGAGTCAGTTCCATACTCCATACGATGATCAGCATGCAAGGGGTGATGTTGTACCTTTGTTTTCGGTGTTGGACTCAATATGCAGACACCCATTTCTGATCAAGTGCCAATGCATCACTGTAAACCTGTTTACCGGAAGACGAAAGGCGCTGCTCTCCTTTGCAAGGCAGGTAGAAGCAAATATCGATGATCGAGCTTCTGGGAGGCCGTACGCTCCACTTTGTAAGCTCGCGCCGCTCAAAAGCATGTGCTTCGTTCGGTTTTCGACGTTCAAGTCGCCAGACCCGTGTCTACCACAATCCGGTCTTTCGCGGAGGAGCTTTGCGTGCTGCATGAACAGTGCCCGACACAGCGCCTGCTGGGCAGCGCGGTGAAAATCCGCCGCTTGGTGGCACTCACAGCCAATCGACGACCTGGTAGGATCTCCAAAAAGAGAATACGCAGCAAGCATTCGGACTAGCCCAATGTTTTGGCATGCATGTTGTTGCAGGGGGTCTTCAAAGTGATGCCGGAAAGGCGCTGAACGGAGCCTCAGTTGCCAAGAGACCACACCAGATGCCGTTGCGAGTCCGGTTTGTTTGTGTCACTATGTGTCATGACTCATGGGAGCTTGCCTGACTCGCCAGCCGTTTTGCGTAAATCGAAGACCTAATTCGTCGAGAAAGATTTATCTTAAACGTGACTGTGGCCGCTGTGGAGGACAAGAGGGGTTTGTGCAGTCCTTCGACGAATCGAAGCAGCGGCTAGTGGGCTGCCCAGAGACGGTATGGGTGGAGTTAGCACAAGTTCGGTCCATGGCCTGGCCACGTGTCAAAAGCAGATATGCCCAAATTCGAAAGAAACTTCAGCGTTTGCCGCACCAGTGGAAGGCGGAAAGGCGATGGATCCGCTTTACTCGTGCACTTTGCAGAAGACTCTGAGCGAGCACCGTGTTATCTTCCAGAGAAGTCTCTGTCCCTGACCCTGTCTGTCGTCTCACACCAGTGGATGTAATTGGCCATGCGAGGAGTCGTGTGCTCACAAGCAGCCCAGGTCGTGACAGTCTATGCCACTGGCAAGGAGCATGCAGTGAAGGTCACGAATCTGATTCCGAAGCCCTAGTCGTGCTTCCCGACGAAAAAGACGTCGCGTGCTGTGCGTCCTTGTAGCAGCTGTGCATAAGGCCTCCCCGGCACAGCCTGACACACGCAGATCGAATCCCAAGTCCGCCAACAAGAGAACCCCGTCGGCTCTGTTATTATGAAATGGCTCGGTTCCCGTTGATTCAGGCAGTTCGTGGACGTGAATGCAGTCCGCATGTCAGGACAAGTCGTGGGTCGCAATCAAGCCGCGGATGTACTTCGAAAGCGCTACTTGCAATCTGCTTCGTGTTTCACAAGCATGATGTCGGAGGTCGGAGAATACAGTGCTTACGCTTTTGTTAATTCCTGCGAGCCACCAAGCCACCACATGTAGCTGTGGATCGTGTGCTGAGACGAACTTCGATTCCGGATGTTCAACACAGTCGCTGTTGAACGAGCCCTACCATAAAAACTAAACATGAGACGTCTGTTGTCCCTCTTGGTTCGAACTGTTAGGAAAAGCCGAGATTATTGAAATTATGGTGGTCTGCATCCTCAGTAAAAGTGCGAGCCCGCACGTGAGAAGGGAACTCATGATGTCCAAGAGGGTGTTGCCAGATTGTTGGATTTGCTAGCCAAGCTTTACTGCACTTTCGAAGCAATGGGGAATGTCACCAGCAGTTGTGGGGGCCTCTGACTGGAGTGTGGCACGGGATCTTCGACGTTATGGTCGCAGTTCTGCATGAATCGACCTTATCATGTGCAGAGTCCTTGCGGCTGTGGCTGTTCGGCTGCCCGCGACTGCGGCTTTGATCTTTCCGGCAGGTGCTAACCCCAGCACTCACCACTGCTGCCGGTGGACGGCAGAGGATGATGCCGAGCTCTCCGTGGAGGCTCCTGGGTTTTGGGCTGAGGAGACCGGAAAGCCACCGCACCATTCGCCTGCAGGGCCGTACCAGGAAATCCAAGACCGAGGCAGCGAGGGACGGGGTGGGCCTTTTTTTGGCAAAACAGTTGGCAGTTCGGAATGCCGCTTCCAGGACAGGATCTGTTCTTCCCGGGAGGGGGGATTCAAAGCAGTTCTGCAGCTCGGTTGTCGGGCAAGGTTCTCGAGACCTGGAAAGTTGGGTGGAAGGTCTTGAGGGAAGAGATAGGACGGACTGGACTTGGCTGTCAGTGTTCCACAGCTTCGGATTCGGTAAGGTCTCGTGTTGGAGGATGCATGATGCAGCCTTGGGGTTTGCTCAGGAGGAGCCCCGATTGAACTTCGACACGAATGTCATCGGCCCGACTAATGCTAACATCATCGGCGGCGCGGGCGCTTCGCCGCTTCAGGAGAGGGCACAAAGCAGGTGTTGCCTCGTTGATAAATTGGCAAGGAAGAGGTCTTGTTCCGTTTGGGTATTCAGAGCGGCATTGGCAGCTACCGGCAGCTGATTTTGCCAGTGTTGGTTCGAGGATGGCATGCGTCATCCCCGACTCGATTTTTCCCAAATCTATGATGTTTTCTGGAATGCTTGAATCCTCGACATGTCTTGACTGGTTTCGGCTGTGGACAGGTAAGTGCGTCGCGACAACTAGTCTCGAGGGTTCTTTTGCTCAAAACTTGATTGGTGTCCCCCTCCACTCCACGAGACGTCGCTTCATGAAATGACATCCGTCGAGGATGAAGGACTAGAGTCACTGGAGCACAAGGCGATTTTGGACACCCTTCTCTTGCACTCCTACTCGCGGGGCGTAGGGCGGTCTGCTGAATGACTCAGGAGCTCAAGTTCCTGGAGGAGCGGCCCGTGCCCGAGTGCACAGAGCTCTGTGTCTCTGATGTGTCACATGAGCTCATGTAAAGCCCCCCATTTCCAGAGACCAGGATGCATCCGGTCTGACAGTCTGACAATGCCTCTGCGGTGGCGGTCCACACGTCCGAGGTCCTTCAAGAAAGACTGGCAACGGGAGCCCACACCGGAGAGGACGGAGGGGGGGAATCGTTTTGGGCTTGTCTGCGCAAGGCTGCATGGCGCCCAGCCGAAGAGCAACGTCAACAGAGCAACGCAAGCTCCTGTGCAACGCAAATTTTCTGTGGACCAGGACCTCGAAGGACACTCAGAACCGGAAGGTTCGAAAGCTTGCAGGGCAGACGGTAGTGTCAGGTTAGTGCCAGGCTGGGGTAAAAAACAGCTTTAGGACCGCAGATGTCCTGGGAGTGCTGATTCGAGTCGCAAGACTAAAGATGTCCGTCCGTATTCTCTCAAGAACTTCAGAGATGCTGGCAATGGGATGAGGGCTTCACGTTCAGCTTTCGAACTTCCGCAAGCTCATCTTTGCAAGCCCAAGAAGGCCAGAAGCCCAGAAGCCTCCCACATTCTGCCGGGAGGCTCAGACAGCTGAGCTCAAAAAGGCCGCCAAGGCCCTGCAACCCAAGGCCATGGGCTCAGTTATCGATCCAAGGAGCACAGCCCATTGTAGGCCATTCGATGCTCTTGGTGCCGAACTCGAGATTACAGGTGGCAGGGTTGGGTTTCTTAACGATTGGCACTTGACTTCTCTTTCTGCTCCTCGTCCGAGTGCTGACATTCATGACTTCGAGCCATCAAGTCCATGTGCCAAGCACGGAGACGCACAGGCTGTGGCAAAGGGTGGCTTTCCCGTCAGCGCCAAGGCCAGGGTACAATGGCACGATGACGCTTCGGGGTAGCGCCGGCACAGTCGGTCGGGTCTGCTCTAGGAGGCTTACGGAGTTCTGTTTGTACCGGAATTTGTTGTCACCCTCATCTCGGCGTCGGCTTGCAGGCGAAGCCAAAGTCGGACGTCTCAATGTCATCGGTTTCATCTTCCAGCGTCCTGCCGCTGCTCGAAGCAATTCGTTCGTTGTGGGAGGGCACATACGGGACAGGGATGGACCATATGAAGCATCGGCCCTGCGAAGTGCTCCCGGGACGGCCGAGGTTCAGCAGCAGTCCGGGCAAGTCACCGCTACCGCAAAAGGAAGAGAAGGCCGGTGGCCTGCCAACTCCGCGCTTTGCTCGCTTCTGCTTCTCTCGAGAAGAAAGTCTTTCGCTCCTGGAAGCTGTCGCCTCTGCCTGAGGTCGTCAGTCCCAAGACAGCTGAGGATCGCGCCGTCCCTGCAAAGCTCAAGGCTGAGCTGCCCGAAGAGCCGCAGAAGCCCGTTGAAGGAACCGAGCAAAGCACAGCAGTTCCGGTCCCGGCGAGCCCCAACCCGTGCAAGAAGCTCATCCCGAGCCTCTCCCCAGCCCTTTGGTCGCCCATGCACCGGCGTTGGACATGCCAGAAGGCCCTCCAGCCGGAGCCCGCGCAGACCGTGCAGCCGGCGCAGAGCGCGCAGAGCTTGCAGCCCGCAGCCACTGCTACCACGGTTGATGAGACAGAGACCATCACACAAGTGGAAGAGAAACCACAGCGCACTCCACCAGTGTTAAGCCTTTGCAGCCCACCTCCAGCACTCTGGTCCCCACTGCATCGCAAGTGGTGCGGCGCTGTGCTGAAGATGCAGCTTGCACAGGTTCCAACGCTGCTCGTGAAAAAGGCGCAGACCCCCAAGGCCTTGCTTTCTCTGGAGAGCGAGGCTCGCCTGGAGAAGGCGCAGCCGGAGCTGGATGTGAAGACCTTAGAGGCCGAGCCTCTCTGCGTGGCCTTGAAGGCCCCGGCGACCCCAGCGGCCCCAGCCCCCGCTCGCATCAGCTTCTCTTCTGCCCCGGCGCTCTACTCCAAGTGGCACGGCCGATGGACAGGGTGCTTGCCCGAGCCTGCCAAGCTTGGGGCCTAGGGCATCCAGGGCTTCACAGCCGGGAGCCCAGTCAGACAAAGCCTCGGATTCTCAGTGCTCCCATTGACGTCGTAGATTTGGGGATCCTGAGCTCGAGCCTCCGAGGTCGCAGAGCCGTTTTGCAACAGTGATTTGCTGCCTCAAGCGCATGAGAGCCTTGTACAGAGATGGGATTGCAGACCTGTCCTCCCCACAGATGCGACTGCCCTTGTCACCTTCCCTGTGCCCTCGATACCGGCTTGTCGAAGCTAAATCTGCAATCGCTTGGAATGCTATCACAGACTGCTGCTGCTGCTCCTTGCAGCCTCGTTCCCCCTTGCCACAGGCAAGGATGGGGATTGGCATCCGATATGCCGAGGATATGCCAATGTCATGTGAAGACACAGCTTTGCATCATCAGGTGTCTTGCTCAGGTGCAGCAAGCGGGCTTCATCCCTTTCTTAGTCCATCACTGCCCCCTCTTCGGGTTGGCACGGATTGCACATCGATAACTTCCAAGCTTCTCATGGCTGCTCTAATGGCTACTTGTAACGGCCTCCACGAAGATGGGCATCTCTCGCTCTCTCTCGCTCTCTTTTTTTTCGCCTGCAGCTCGCAGGGTCCGCCGCTGGGGCTCTGCGACTCCCAGGCGGCCTCGCAGGCTCCCGAAAAGCCTGGCATGGCCTTAGACGGCACGACACCGAAACGGGAAAGTGCCCCAAAGGTCCCCTGTCGGAGGGCCAAACAAGCTGCTCTCCGGGCAGGGCCCTTGCACAAAACAGCAGAAAGGAAGGGAAGAAGATTGAAGAAGTAATGATGAAGGGTGTGGGAAGCTCTCGCCCAGACTCTTCCCTTCGGCGTGACCCTCTACGCTTCTCATGGCCGGGCTTAAACCCGTGTCGCTCTGTGGAGCCGGGTCTGCACTGAGCCGCACCCAGGCTTGCTTTAAGCACGGCCCCCCGAGATCGGAGTGCTGTCGACTGCCTTTGAAAGTGTCGTTGCCACATGACGTGTGCAACATGTTCATTTAGAGAGGAGACATCCACTGTGTCTCCCCACAGCTCTTTGAGAGCTCTTCATTCCGAATGCTGCCGCTGCCTGGCCGCTGTGTGGAGTTGGTTCGATGTGCAGCGGCAGCTAGCAGACAGTAGCAATTCCGACCTCCCCTGAGCCCGAAGCGAAAGCACTTGTGCCGTGAAATCATCAGCACAAAGGCTTTTGTAGAGACAAGAGCATCTCCCGTGCGCCAAAGCCCTCAAGCCAAGAAGCCGAGCCATCTTAGCCTTAGAGTGCCAGAGTCTGTTGGGATGGTGACGGATGTGGACAGCCAGAGCCCTCGGATATCCGGTGCTCAGAGCCTAGAGCCTGGGAGCTTTCTCGCTGAGGTACGGGTGCTCCAGGACCCGGTACCGTGCTGGAGGTCGTCGGGGCACCCGGTCGAGAGGAGTTCCAGTCAAGTTCATGTTGCCAAGCACCCGCATCACCAGCACCTGTCATGTCAGCTTCGGCTGAAAGTCTACAATGTCTACAAAAAGTTTGCCCACTCTGGCAAGATGAAGGGCGAGGGCAGTAAGGTCAGCAGTCATGATGCCCTTGCATCAGGAACAGTACTGGTGGTAGCAATTGTGTGGCACACCACTGTGGCGGAGATTTCAGACCTTGTGCAGGGCGGAGTTAAAGGGCAGGCTTATTATTATCATCATTTTTTTGGCCTTTTTTTTGCCTGCGAGACGTGGGTTGGGTGGGGTGCAGGGCAGTGGTGGGGCTGCGGGCAGCTCGCAAGGCGTGGGGTAAAGGGGAGGGGGTGTGCTCGAGGCCCAAGTCTTTACGTACAAGTGGGCTTCGAAGCAATATCCAGTTGGAAGCAACATACCTTATTGACATGACTTAGACTAGACTAGACTAGACTTGATGCGATCTGTCATGCAAGCACTGTATTATTCTATCTTATATTGATATTGATTCACCATGAGTATATTGAGGTACAACAAACTCTTACATCACTAGTGAGTTCCAGTTTTGGTAATACTGCAAAATATGTTACAAGTCAATCTAGCGGTATATAACAAAGACTCGTATTGCTATATGATTATTGGCTAATATGTTAATGGACAACCACGCTTACTTACGGTTATTATTTTACATAAAGAATATTAATAATTGCTTCTATTCTGCTATGGTACAGAATAGTATATTATACAATAAAGCCCGCGTGATATATACACTATACACCATATCATGTTGTATTCTATTCTGTTTTGTACTAATGCCGTACAATACTGAAGAATCATTCGCAATGCATACTGTGCGTGTACAAAACCATACAGTATCAAATAACCTTAGGAACAGAACCCAGTATCATGTAGTGTTAGTTCATGTAGCAAATTGTAAGCCGCAAGTTCGTAAAAGGGCACAGGCAAAAATGGCTTTGTAGAAATGCACGGTTTTGGCGCGTGCCAGGAGCCGAACACCGGTGAACACGTTAAGCGAGGACCTGAAGCCCTGAACGGTTCGGAGGCTGTATAGCCGACCAAGCCCACTCGAAAAACGAGAGAATTAACACCATGTGCCTTGGACAAACTTCCTCGCATGCACCAAGAAAAGACAGGAACTTTTTGTCGGGAGGTTTGGGGAAGAGATCTCAGATCAATGGCAGAAACAGTCAGAACGAGAGTTAGGCTTATGGATTCACGGCGTGGATGAGCACCACATTGGCTTAATGTTGTGAAGATCCAGGTTTGGAGTGAAAGGAGTGCCCTCGCCCCGAGGCGACATCGCTTTCAGAGCACATGGGCGGCCAAGTGCCACTGGCAATGATCGCCTTGGACCCACAGGCGAATGATCATCCGGTGCATATTGTAATCTGTATTGCTCTGTCACGAGGCTGAATCCGAGGCTTCAAGCAGCACCTGTGGAGAAATCCCAAGCTCCGATTTGATGAGAGGTGCTCGAGTATGGCCGTGCCCTTCTTGACAAGAAGGAGATTAGGTTTGATTGGGCTTCCAATGCCAATGTTGAGATTCTGCCCTTACCCAGAACCCATGTTTGGATTTCTAAAAGCCGTTACAGGCCTGTCATGCATTCTGCCGCCACGGAAAGCAGATGGAACTCCTGTTGCATGCGGCCATCCCCGGTTCTGTCTGTTGCGTTCGCGCTCGCTTGAAAGCCTTTTGAGGAGAATTTGGGCCCCAGCAAGATCTCCTTGCGGCAGATCCTGGCTGATGTTCTCGAAGGTAGGAGTGTGGATTCAGGAAGGGTTAGCTCACGGCTTTTGCGCCCCAGACTGTTCGGGTCCTGAAAAGACAGTTTGCGCCTCAGGTGCCGGCGAGGATCCCAAGCTTCTGATCGAAGATGCGGAGCCCTTTCCGATGGTGCGCTGCGAAGTCCCGGGAGCGGTAAGCAGCACTCGCACTTACTCGTATACCGTGTATCAGTTGCTTATTCGAACATGCACATGCGCACAACGATTTTGTGTAAGTCTGTTGCTCAAGCGCGTGTTGAACTGGTGCTCAAAATGCAAGCTAGCAGGACGAAAGACATGAACAGCATCACAACGCACTGAGATACTGCGATACCCCGCAGCCTTGCAGTTCGATTTCAGTAGAAGCTTGTGCGATGCGTTCGAGTTTGTCTACACTGCCGGCCAGGGCGCAGCAGGACAAAACTCCTCGAGACACGGCATGCCCCCTAAGCCCCAGGCAGCTGATGTCTGCTCCGTTTCAGACCTTGGGCTGATTAGCTTGGGCTCCGGGGCAGACATTCACAGGCTCTGCAGTTGTGCCCACAGGATGCGTGCCCTGGGAAAGTCCGCACGCGCGTCGGCGCCGCTGGTTCAGCTGGAGCTGCAAAGAGCGCGCAGCATCAAAAGGGTGCTGGCTGCAGTGGGTCGCTGAGCAGCCTTGGTAGACCGAGGGTCGGGAAAAAGACACTCATGTGAGGCCTTTATCAGGAGACCTTCTGTTGTTCCTGTTCAGAGGGTTGATGATATCATGCCATGCCCTGGTGCATATCCAGAGACCCTCAAACAAGTCCGACAGGTTGTAGGGTAACTGACGGCAGACAGCTCTAGCCGAGACAAGCACTTCCACATCCTCGATGCCGGTCACGTGAGTCTGGTGCTGCAGAAGCTCGCGGCTCTGCGACTTGGCTCAAAGGCTCAAAGGTCGACGGCAGACCGGAGCACAGAGTGGCTTCATCTAACTCCGCTGTGGGCAAAGAGGGATAGAGAAGGCGCAGCCGTAGGCAAAAGGGTTCGTCTAGCTGTGGGTACACTGTAGGCCTATGTAGGCCTGTAGGCTCTCCAGCAGCGAGAAAACTCCGAGGCCCCGAGAAAACTCTGAGAGCATCGAGCGCGAGCTCCTGGATCTGCTGTCCTTCTGCCTCGAAGTTTGCGAAAGTTTTTCTGCCCACGTTACATGGGGCACACGGCCACAAAGCTTCACCTGACCTGTCTTGGCTATTCGAGGCGACTAGTGGAGCACCATGCCGCGCAGCTGCCAGACAAGGCTTTGCGGCTTTGCGGCTTTGCTTTGGGGCTTGTCTCTGAAGCAGATGTTCTCACGAGGTGGCATCTTGTCAGGAGCACACTTGAGCATAGAGGTTCGAAGCTTCCCTGACCCTGACACCTGAGTTCGACAAATGTATTGAACCCCCCACCCACAGGAACTCTTGCGCTTGGCCAGGAGCGCTCGGGTTCTTGTTTTTTTGAGCTTGGGTGAATGGTGAAAGAGGCGGAAAGCGCATAAGGCGTCGAGGTCAGGGTTTTCGTTGGTTTGGGGCAGGCGTTGCCAGAGGCAGTCCAGATGTTCGTTACAGATGCGCTCGCTAAGGCATCTTCCCACGCGTTGTTTTGGGCCTTGTGCGCTTTAAAATATTCATTCATGCTCAGATGTGGGTTTCGATGCATGGGGACACAGACTCAGAGACTGCACTCCAGGTCGCCCCCAGCTCTCCCTCCGAGGAGCCTTGCGGGCTTGGCCCGCCCCGACAATCCGGCCTGGCAGGCCATCGGCGCCACGGTCACGGAGAGGCCGTTGCGGGAGCCTCTGAGCCTCCGTCAGAAGCACCTCTCCGCCCTTCGAGGATCCCGCGCCTCGGCACGGACCTGGCGCCGCTGCTCGCTGCCCTGGCTGCCGCGCGAAGCACCGCGGCGGAGGCTCCGGGAGCCAGCAAGGCTAAGGCGGCTAAGGTGGCTCATTGGCGAAGGCTCTGGGCTTCTGCCTTCATGCCGAGGCCTTCCGAGCAGCCGAGCAGCCAGAGGCCGGGGATGCGTGGACGTTTCTGGCTCAGAAGGACACTCTGTGCTCCACATGACGACACGTTGCCGTAAGTGACGGTGTTGCAGGTCGTGGCCTCAATGTCAGATGACACACTGGCTGGGGCGTCTTAGCTGCTCATAGACAATGCATGCACACCACACCCGCACCTGCGGACTCTGCCTCTCTGTCTCTCCGCTCGCTGACTACCTCCGAGCGGTCTGTTCGTCGTCGTCACAATCTCTCTGCTGCAGCAGTTGCACATGTGAGTTTTCGGTTCTGCGGTCTAGTCGGGACGATCTGTTCGTCAGCCGCACCATTGAAGCAGCAGCCTGGCAGTGTGGCACAACATTTGCTTCAGAAAGAGCCGCAGCACACGTACGCCTCGAAAAAGTATGCACATGAGCACACAAATGAGACAGATCCCCCTCGGCTGGCTTTGAGGTAGAGGAACTCCAGGGTCAGGCCCAGGCTGAGTTGAAAGATGCATGGCATTGAGCCATCTTGACATGAGACCGTGAATGCATCGCCAGTGTCACAAAGTCTCGGAGCATTTTAGCTCATGACCTCCTGGAGCTTCCTTTGCATCTTCCCAGCTCCATCTCGGCGAGGTCCTCTCCGCCATGGTGCTCGTGGCCTTGCAGCAGTCGAGTTTCCTGCATCAGTAAGAACTCCTGTCATTGGTTGATCCGCGCCAGGCCAGGCTTTGCAGCTTGAGGTTCGATGTCATCTAAGTTAGCTCGGTGAGCCAGCGCCTCTTCGCCTGTGCTGTTATCTGTTTGCCTCGAGCGCGGAAGGCACGCTGGTGCAGATCGCCCCCGAAAGACTCAGACCCGTATAGAAGCAGAAGGCCTAAGAAGCTCAACCCAGCCCTCCACGAGGCTCGGCAACCGCCTGCCAGCAGTGTGCTGCTCGAGGCTTGCCACGCGACCACGGTGTCAGTGAGTCGACAGAACAGAACTTCCAGACGGTGAGATCTAGGCAAGCGGTTCGGCCTCAAGGGTTTCGGCACAGGCAGTCGCGGCCCGGACTCCGAATTTCGAAGAGGCAGTGCTGCGCCAGGTCGGGGAAGGGGGGAGTTGCGATGCAGAACCCAAGCTGACTGACTTTCTTGTGCTACCAGGTGTCCGCCGCCCTGGCCAACTTGGGACCTGCCGGGGCTCTCTCGGTGGTGCCCAGGCAGAGGAACAAGGGAACAAGTGAGGGTCCTTCAAGTCTAAAGTCTAAAGCTCGTCCGAAGCGTTCTGATTCGTGCTCGGAAAGGATGGCTTGGGAAGTGGGGGTCTCAAGGGCAGTCGTTCCCTTACGTCAGTGGAGTTTGAGTTCCCACGTAGCAACCAAATCTCCAGTGCAGAACAAGGGAGGCAGCAGCATCAGCGGCAGTCCAAGAACACCACGGGAGCACAAGACAGGTCCGAGACAGCCAAGACCGACGGGAGTCGCAGCAGGACTACTGACGACATTGAGTTGGCATGACAGGCCATGGATTGGCAGAAGCTCCTCGATTTAGGTCATGTAGTCAAGCCGAGCCCCGATTCTCCAAAAACAGGACAGCGAGCTTGAACAAACTGAATCACTCCCCTTGCAGCGTTTGACATAGGAAACTCATCCGAAAGAAACGGAGGGAGCAAGAATTTCGCTTGCCCAGGCCCGACTCATGGAGGACCTGGAGCTGCGAACACCGCAGAATCTCGAGACCTCCACGCAGATCGCCCTCCTCTGGGCCTGTGCCCGCGCGCCTGCACTGGATGCACTCGGTGGTGAGCGGCTGTGCCGAATGGCGGAGCAGGTGTCTGGGCCTCCAAGGCTTCCCAAGTCTTTAACACATACTCCCAAAGAGATCGAGACCTTGCAGGTTGGCCCCAGGCTGTCCGAGGTCACGTCTGCGGAGCTTTCTCGGCTGTCTTGGGAATCTCGGCTGCGGTGGAGGGGGGGAACTTCCGGTTCCGGTTGCGAGCCACGGCCGACCTCCAAGGTGCTCGTGCAGGGCCGGCGACAATTCGGCCCGGAACCCAGTCGATGGGTGGGGACAGTGACCTTGCATCTGCATGTCATCTGCCTATATGCTTCATAGCTACTCCGACCCCACTGAGGCACAGTGGGGGTTTCACTTCTGGAGGCCGGAGCTGCTAGCCATGAAGGCAGACTGAAGTAATGGCAACTCTGTGATCTTGAAGGGACTCTGCTGGGCATTGTGTTACTTGTAGAAGCTGGAAAGCTCTGGCAGGCAGCCCTCACCGAGGCCCGATTCTGTCTTTGGCTTTGGGCGCGAGGGTGTTGGATCACGAAAGCTGAGATGCGAGGTGCGCGGGCGCCTTGGGGAGTTTAACAGCTCCCAGCTTTCCACAGTGCTTTGGGCTGCAGCGGAGGTCGCTGTTCAGGCGCAAGGGAATAGCAGATACTGAAACGGTGGGTCTTGCTCTGGCTTCACCCCCACTCATCGGGCTCGTGAGCAAACCAAAGCCTCCCATCCTCGCAAAATGTTAAGGGGGCCTTTGGGAGTTGAGGGCGGGGCGGAGACGGAGAGCGTGCCTAGCAACGCATGACTGGAGGAAGCCCTGTTTGCTTCCATGCCCCTTGCTCTGAACTTGGAGGCAGACACAGTTCTCCCGGCTGCCGTGCGGCTCACCTCCTTGGGTCTGGCGGAGCTGCCAGAGGCCTCTGTTCGGGTTGGGAAAGAGACTTAGGGCTCAGGCTAAGAAGCAAGATGTGAAGATCTGTCGCATAGTGAGCAGCTCGTGGTTTTTCGAAGCGGCATGCAAGCGAGGTCCTTTATAGTAGGCGGCGTGAATCAAGTGTTGCCATCACCGCAGGCATCGCTGGCCTCCTTGACGGTTTCCGTGGCCAAGCTGGGATTGGGCACTCAGGAGGTGGGAATCCCATCAAGAAGCTTGAAGACTTGAAGCATTTTGAAGCCCTCGTGCAGGGCACTTCTCTGCTTGCGTTGGCAGTCGAGGAGCTTGAGCACCTCGGCTCGAGGTCCAGCAGTCGGATTCAGTTCGGACTTTGCCTCGCTTGATATGTCCGCGGAGCAGCTTGTGATATCATGTTGCACGGCTTTTGGTTATTGTGGTAGTCGCATTTCCTGTGACACCCGTTTCAGCAGTGTTTGCAGAAGAAATGGCACCATTGCAGCATGTGTCGGGCAAAACTCGCATGACGGAAGTGTAAACTCTGCTTGCCTTCCTTCGTTACGGCAAGCGGCTCTCAATCTACAGAGCTTCTTCAGTATGACCGGGGCCGAGGCTCCGATGCGACCAAACGTCAAGAACTCCGCTCTCACCGGCGACTTGCATCTAGCAGCCCAGCCGTTTCAAGCGGTCAAGACGCGATGCTTCGACTTGTCCGGCTCTTGCATGAGCAGTGCTCTAAGGTGTTGCTTGTCGGGGCCAAGCTTGTAACATGTTGGAGGCATCGCCGCTTTGATCCACCTTTCCTCTTAGGCGACGCTCTCCTCCGTTCTCTGGGGCCTGGCAGAGCTGCTGCCAGAAGAGGGGCAGAGCAGCTTGTCGTGAAGGAAAGAAGCTGCGCGTCTATAGTCGTAGCAGCTGCGAGGAGCAGCCAGGAGCCAAGTTTCTTCTGATGCCTCCGTGCCTCTCCCATTTGCAGGGCTGCTGTCTGCCTTGGAGCCGACGATTCTTGCGCAGCTGACGTGGGGCGGGGGCCCTGACTGGAGTGTTGTCACATTGTCCTTTATGGCCATCGGTTCTTCTGAGACAGCTGCAACCGAAGCCTCCACCTCCCAGAAGCGGCAACTGGAAGAAGAGCAACGACCCCAGACATTACCCATACAGGTTCTCCACTAACTCGGAGTGTTCGCAAACGTCTTGCCACACGGCAGAGAACCGCTTCAGTCAGGACAGTTGAACTTACCAGTGGGGACCGACTGAGAGCTCCAGAAGGAACAGCAAACAGTCCTCATGGCACGTTCCGAATATCAGCTGCGAGTCAGAAGAGGTGCAGCAAAGCCTTTCTCGAACACCCTTGCGGACTCATGGAAGCCTCATCTGAGTTAGACCGTTAGATGCAGATTGAGGCCACTTTGGGCCAAAGCATCTCGCTCGCTTGGCCCGTGCAGCTGCCAGCCTCTCCGGCCCTTCCGCAGCGCTGCGGGAGGCAGAGGAGAGAAGAAAGACTGCTCAGAAGTTTGAGTTTGTTGTGCTTCTTCGCTCCCAGCCGGTTTTTTCCACATGCCGCTCTGATTCCACAAACTTGGACGGAAAGCCGCCCGGCGCCGGCTCCACTCGAAGAGGGGGAAAAGCTCGGAGCCCTAAAACCTTCGGAGCGAAGCGAGGCTGTGGCCGCCCGTGTGGTGCGTGTGGCTCCGGGAGACTTTGAGCCTGGGGCCGCTTGGTCTGAAAGCTGGACCTAAGCCCTCTCCCAGCCCTCTCCAGGGTCGAGTTAGACCGTCAGACCCCAAGTGTCAGAGCCTCTTTGAAGGGCTTGGCCTCCAGGACCTGGCGAAGCTCGGGCAGTCCTTCGCGAAGCTGCAGCTTCCGGCCGACTACTGCCGGGACCCGGAGAAGAGACTCGCTTTGAGCGCCTGGTGAAGGGGGTGTTCCATTCGGAACCTTTACCTCACGCAGTAGTCGCTGAGTCCAAGCAAGGTCGTTAGCATCTGCATACCTCAGACGTTCTTAGCCTGATGCCCGATTCTTCCTCGAGTGTCACGAGCGATCTTGATATCTCAAGCTCCATCTAAATGCATATGATCTGGTTAGCACTGGGATTTCAGCTGTGGGATTAGTGGCTGCACGAGTGTCAACGGCAACATCAACAACACATTCCGAGCCTCGGGTCATGTCCTGCGCCCCCAGTGGCATCTGGATGCACCGCTCATTTTGCTGACAAGCTCGTTTGAAAAGACGTGGCGTCTGTTCACGGTAAAAACCCACCAAAGCAAGCCCATCTGGGGCGACTCCTTGTTCGGCACGCGGCATGCCGCTCCGTTCTGCAGGCTTGCAGTCATTCGGGCCTCGTATTCCCAGCAACATCTGGTATCTGCCGTGCCCCGTCCGACCCGAGTTGGCAGGACCTGGCAGAAGCAAGTCGGAGCCCCACTTGGCGGAATGAAAAAGAAGTGCTTGCACCAGTGGCCATCTCGGCCGTGTGCTTTCTGATCCTTGCCGGCATCGGACTAGTATCACCCAAAGATTGGACGCCCGAACTGAAACCCTGCGTATGTCTCAGCCTGCACTGCTGTGCTAGCCAAGCGGTGAAGGTGAAGCTGATCCGAGATGGCTCAGGCACCGTCAGGGGTTCGTGCAGAGCGTCGATGCAGGATGGGAGTGTCGAGTGGGTTCAGGGTGCGCATCGAGGGTCGACTCGGGTATGTGGTGTCGCATTCCGCTGGCAATCTCCCCTGCTCGGCAGGAGCGGATGACCTGGTGTTGTGTGCAGCTGCCTTCCATGTTCAAGAGCCACATGATTGTCGTTGAAAACCCATTGAACCCCGTGGTGCAACCACCTACATCTCCCCGGCCACAGGGTACACGCAGTCCAGGGCCCAATGTCACTATCACGTCAGATCAAACTCCCGAATAGGCAGCGCAAGCCTGACCGCAGCAAAGATGCCTGACAAGCACAGAACCCCGCAAAGCCACGCCGGAGCCACAAGCCGCGGCCGCATGCTCCGAGTGGGCTAGCTTTCGGGGCCCTGCCTGCGCCCCAAAGCGGGGCTCCGGTTTGGGAGCTTGGGCTTACACATAGCTCTTGTCGGACTCTTGGTGTAGATTTCAGAGGGGGGTCTTTGAGGAATCTCCAGACCACTATGTTCCAAGGCCTCCGCACAATTTCTCGAACGCTGCACATCCACGTATGCATGCATCTCTGGGATGTAGTTGCCTGAATCAAGTCCGTTGCATGTGGGGCTTGCAGAATTTCAACATGCAGGGGTGCAACGGTGGTTCTCCGTGTCGCGTGTTTCATCTCGGTGCCCTTGTTTTTGAGGCACCGCTGACACTTCGGTGCTGCAATGGGTGTCGCCACCTGGGTTGGCACAGCATCAGGTTTCTCGAATTTCCTGCGTTTAGAGGTTCAGAGGACTTGTGCTGGCTTCTGAAACTGCATCGGTGATCCGTGGTGATCCTTGGTAGCAACCCGTGAGTTCGTTTTCACCAGGAGAGGTCTGGATGGCAAGTGCTTTGGATTGGGAAAGGTGTGAGTGGGGAAAATCTGCCAGGTGCGAACTGCAGCCGCTTCCATGGCGGAGATGCAGGCTTCGGGAAGCGGCCCTACCGGTAACACCCGTACATACAAGCACTAGAAGCAGCTGGGGCGACCCAGAAGCTAAGCCACGGCGGCAGCGCATCAGGAATAGAAATTGGAGAGGCAGCGGTGTCAGTTGACAGCTCTTGTCGCGACAGCAGAGCGGCAACAGCAAAGCAACTTACCAGCTTCTTCTGGCGGCAGTTGAAGTGCGGGCGGAGTCTTCCAAGCCGGCTCCAGCAGGGAACTGAGGACCGCGAAAGAATCATCATCATTGTCATCGTCGTTGTCATCATCATCAGCATCATTATCTTCATCGTCATCATCATCATCAGCAGCAGCATCGTCAGCATCATCTTCATCAGCATCACCATACTCACCAAGGTGTGTGTCCACGTCTATGACCTGGGAGCATCTGAGCGAATCTCCCTGCTCAACTCGGCCTGGCGCGCAGAGCGGTCGCAACTTTACCAGGAACAGCTGTGCAAGCCTTTAGAATCAATCTTGTGAGCAAAGCAAAAGAATAGCAGTCCAAGAAGTAGCCGCAAATCTCTGTTGCACCCTTCAACTGCAGGTGCAGCATAAGTCTTCAATTGCGGAAGTGGGAATCGCCGAGATGATGAACGTTGTCACACGGACCAGGATGATGGTGGCTGCCACAGTGCCCATGATGACGATGATGATGACGATGATGGCGACGACGATGACGGAATGAGTGCACATGGCGGTCGTGGCCAGTTTCATTGAGCTGGGAAAAGTTATACTCACCGGTCACAGTACTGCTGCCAAACATGTTCATGATTTCGTCCGAAGCAAGCAGAAAGTGTTAATCCCAGTCATAGAAATGGTACTGTAGGGATACGGTGCTGGCGGGAAGGAAAACCGTGATGCGTCACTGTAGCTACAACACGTCCTGGTTTCAAATTCCAAGGTCCTTCGGCCCTTTGGCAGCGGAGCTTTTCACTGCGGTGTGGAGGTGGAGCTATGTCGAGCTTGTCATAGAACTTTGCATCCGTGTGCGCACCTTCTTCACGGCAGCAAGCTGTTCTCCTGGCTGTCACAGTTTAACAGTTAAGTGGCATGTGCTGAAGATGATGTCCATGTTGCCTTGGATCGCCGTTGCCGGGGAGAATGCGTTGGGAGATCTACGGCCAGCAGCAAGGGCAAACCTTTGGCTCAGTGTGGCCAACCCGGGTTCGCTCAACAATGTTCCTGGCCGTCAGGTCTACGGCCTTGAATGGAGTTTCTCCGACATTGTGAACTGCACTGTCGGGTAACCCAGACTTACTCCAACCTGGATTTGCGAGGCATCTGTCGCTTAGCCCGCAATTGCTTTCGCTTTGTTTGCTCGAGCCCTGTCTGACAGCAACTAGCGACTCAGGCGGAGGAGCGGATGCGAACCGGCGTCTTCAGTGCCTGGCCAAAGCAAAGCTCGGGGCCCCGGCCGATCGCACGAGGCATCCCGAGGTACCCAGTGTGGCCTTCATCCCCTTAAGCTGGAACATCACCGCGATTCAAGCTCTGGAAATTAGGGATGTGGGAATATGCCTTTGAGGGCATCGAGTCAAGGAAAGCCGATTTCTGTATGTTTGTAGTTACGGTTAAGGGACTGGGGCTTCAGGAGTTTGGGGTTTAAAGCACACTCGACTTTTTTAAGTTATGGTTTAGGCTTTGAGGGTTGCAGGTTTGGGGTTTGGCAAAATGGGGTGTCGAATGCAGGGTTTGGGGATTTCGGGATTTAGGGTTACAGGATTGGGGTGTCGAGGCGAGTCTTCAAGGTTTTTGGATTTGGAGGCTTGGGGTCGTGACTTATCAGCTGGCAGAGAGGAGTCTTCAGGTTCAGGGCTTTAGATGCTTTAGAGGCTTTAGGGTTTCAGGTCTTGACGAGGTAAAAACTTTGGGCTTCTCTGCAGGGCGTAGTCACAGCCAGGAGAGCCGAGTCTTTGGGGTTCTGCGGTTTAGGGTTTAGGGAAGTTTAGGGCTTCAGGGTTTGAGGTGTTGAGGATTGTGGATCATAGGCGCTAGGGGTGAATAATGCTTTTAGCTTGAAAGCAGGTGCGGGCCTTAGGGCTATCAAGAGCCAGGGAGAGACGAGGTTTTCGGGCTCTTGGGTTTCAAGCCTTCGAATCTGCGTCGCTTCGGATGCGAGAATCCTTCGGCCAGCGTGTGACTCGACTGTTTGTACTGCGCGAAAGGGGTTCCTGCCAGTCAGGAGATTTCCTGAGCATGACAAGTTCGTAGAGCAGTCACCCCTGTCTCGGCCAAGAGGAACACCTTGCATCATGCCTCGCCGTTCCGTGAGGTCCGGGACACCGTTATGTGGAATCTGTCGCCACCTCGTGCGTACCAGATTCAACTGTGCGCATTGCGGCCTTCTTTTGACCAGTGCGCTGCGCTAGTTCGCTTCAGCGTGACGTGAGTTCATTACGGCTACGGGTGTCATGCTGCTCCATGCCGTCAGTCATTCATTGCCGAAGCGTCGTCGGTTCCTCTGAGGTTTCGATGGGCTTCACGTCAAAGTCAGAGGCTGGGAGACTCTGGCAGAATTTGTTTGGAGTGCCATGGCACACCTTGTTTGGTGCTTCTATGTTGCTGAACATGTTGTGGGCCAAGGGCATTGCCACGACCGGTAGTGAGACCTATGACTGCCATTGTCAGTGCTAGGGCTGCTAGGGCTGCTACGGGCAGGTCCAAGTGCTCAATCTCGTCGCCGGGATGGAGGCCACCATTCCATTCCATTCTCCGTTTTGTGAAGTCCACAAAGCCGCAATCGGCATCCTGTCTGACGGCGAAACTCGAAGCTGTCAATTGTGAAGGCGATTTGGCCAGTGGCTTCCTACAACGTCCTCCGACGAAACTGTGGCTCTGCTAATTCGGTAAAGGGGAAGGATTTCGAATCCTTCGGCCTTGGCCATTTGGAAGGTGGTGCAGGGTTGTCGAGCGGAAGCGGGCTTCTCTTTAGGGATTCCGTTGCTCGCCATCGATTCATGTGGGAGATGCCGTCTTTAGACAGCTGTCGGTGGAGAGTGTGTGTAATGTTCCGAAGCAGACTCACCACCGGCCCTCTCAAGGCTGTCACTTCGTGGATGAGTTGTGCAAGAAGATAGGCTTCTGGGGCTGATCGGCCTTTTGTTGGGCTCATTTGTTGTGGTTTTCTTCCTTCGGCCAAAGCCAGTTCAAGCTTGCTTCACGATACGGCTCCCTGAGACCTCAACTGTCTCGAGTTCGAGGTTGTTCGGCGTGGTCGTGTTTTGCATATTTGCAGGCGTTGGTGGCATCCCTCCACGGTTGATGAGCTTGGCCGGAGCCGGCCAGGGTCCTGGGTCTTTCTTCGGCGTTCTGTCTCCTCGGCCCTGTTCCCTGCCGTGACGAGGGGTTTGCTAGTCTCACTCAAACCCTCCGAAGTCAGCGTGACGCTCAGCACCGAGGCGTGTCCCTGGTGGAGTACAGCCAAGTCAGTCTCCTCGGTCAACAGGGGTGTTTTCAAGAGTGCTTAGCTTTCTTCATGCTTGGGACGGGGTCGCCTTGGGACGAGCACGGCTTGGGCTTCCGTGCAAAGGCCGCTGCCGACTACGCGTGCTGCACCAGCAACGGCAAGGCCGGCGCCCCTTTCGCCTCGGCATGCCTCGGCATGCCTCGGCCCAGCCGCCTCGGCTTCTGCGCGGAGACCGGAGGTCTGCTCCCTGAGCTGCTGCTACGACAGCACGGTGGACAAGAGCTACCAGGAGAGGCACTTCGGCCCCTTAAGAGGTCAAGGAGGATCATGCCGGCTTTCAGACGCCTGACCGGTAGTCGGCAGGAGCTTCACACGCCGAAGGCTCGCGGTGCATGCCGTGGGTGCAGGTTGTGCGCATGCAATGGTTTTGCTTCTACAGGGACCGAAATACCGGCACATCGGGCCCAAGAGGACTGTCGAACATCGACAGTCAGGAGGATCTGCGTGGATCTCGTGGCGCACCGCTTTTCCTGTCCCATGGCGCAGTCTTTGCAGCAGCCTTTGGCAGGCCAGCTTTCGAAAGTTTTTGTTGCTGTGGCACGTTGCCCTGCTTCAGGTTTTGGCATAATGTAGAGTCGTAGAGCCGAGGATAATATGAAGAATGAACTCCTCCCTGATGCCCAGGTGAGAGCACTGAGACATGCTGTCTCTTGGCACACTGCAGATGACATGGTTGTTCGCAGTGAAAAGCATCGTTGCTTCGAAGAACCGCCGTATTGGTAGTGACTGTGCTCGTGCTCGAAGTCAGGAGAGGACTAAGCTAGTTGAGACGAGGAGGAAGAACGATCGTGAGCGTTGAGGCTGCCCATTGTGGAAAGAGGCTCACGGAAACGCTCGGGCCATGAAAGCTGCGTTACGCACAGACCCTGCGAGAAACCCCCCGAAGCACCAACAGGCTTTCGGGTGCTCCGTCACGGTCGAGTCACGGGCGAGTGCAGTGGACGGGCGGCATGCGACGCAATAACGAAGACCCAATGACAGCAGCAGGGCAAGCCAAGAAGCAGAGGAACATCAGACTTCCAGCTCCAATCTCAATCCTGAAAGTTCTTCCGCAAGATCGCTCAAAACGATTGCCAAAGGCTGTGGGCTGGACCGCGACTTCACGAAGTGGGTTCAATGGAGGAGGAGCCCATATTCCGCTCCGCGAGTCAGCGCAAGCCATGTGAGTGTCCGCCCACAGTCCGACTGTCACCAGCAGCAGCGCGGAGAGATTGCCGTGGCAAGCCGCAGCTCGGCTCGTGTTGGGCTTCGACAGGTCCGAGACAGAAACTGCAGGGGAACCAGGGTTGTTCCCGCTATTGCTTCATTCTGTTTGATCGACGTCCTTAGGTTCTTATGTGCGCTTCATGAGTGATGTGATGCCAGGGCTGTACAGTTCTCTTGCTGGTGGAAATGACCTTCTACTTCTACTTCGTCGCCACTTCCGCTGCCGCCACCTTATGTTTTGCCGGACTTTACTTAGGGCATTCAAGGTTTCAGGCTCGGGGATTGAGACTTGGATCACAAAGCTGCTCCTCATGGACATGGACAAGGATTAGGTTGGCCTTGTGAGGTGCTGGTGTTGATTGGTGGCATCTTCGTCGTCAAGGCCTGTCTGAGTTCGTCGGACCAGTCATAGCCTTCAAGTGTCGGTGGTTGGTAGCTTGCACCACAGATCTTCGCTTCTTGTGCACAGGGTGTCGGGTATGCTCTAATCGATCAGGCTCCTTGTTGGTCCATGCCTCCCTTAGGCTTAAGACCTTGCTGACCCTCCATTCAAAAAGGTTCGCACTGGCTGTAGGTCCGGAGCCCGACACCCCAAACCACTCCCCGACACATGCTTGGCCCCCGTTTTCTCAGGCCTTGGTAGAAATCTGGGGGCAGCAGACGCCCACTTGGCTGTGCCCAGGTACAGTCTGCATGCTGCCGGGCAGAAAACGATTCAGTTCCAGCCGTCGGCACCATCGAAAATTGAAGCAGCGTCTTCGCATGTGAGGCTCTTCGTAATCTATGTCCTGATCGTCCCGACAGTTAGCTACATGTTCGGCTTCTCGGTTCACATTGGATTCTGCTGTGATGGCCAGGGGATGCTTCTGCGCCTTCTGTTAGCTCATGTCTCGCATTCCTTCGGTTCCTCTTCACATGAAGCGGCAGACAGTGTTCGAAGAGACCGGGTTGATGGCAGTTGCGTCATCCTCAGTATCATTGTATGTTCCCGGCAAACCCAAGCAGCCCGGCAGTGCTCGCTTGAACACAGGCTACTGCACGATGGCCTCGGACATCAACTTCACAGGGCACAAATGGGTTGGCCTGGTGCCCTCTGGCTGCCAGGAGTCTTCAGCGAAAAGCTACATAATGCGAGCATGTGCCTAGAGGCCTCGAGGCCTAGAGCAATGTATCATGTCTGCGGGTTTCGCTGAAGGCATAGATGCACATCGCTAAAGGACTCCCAGTTTCGTCAAGCAGCTCCCTGCAGAGTCTCAGGCTCTATCTGTTTGGATCTTCCTTCTCATTGTACTACGAGGTGCAGAGAAGCTGTCGGAGGGCTGTCCTTCCCGGTTCAGTGGTTTTGGGATGCGTGCACCGGAAGACAGAAAAGCCTAGGAAGCCGTGCGAAGCTGGCGAGGTGCACCGCTTCAGATTTAAGGCCAAGCCTGAGAATAAGGGAAAGCTCCACACCGTCGGGCCCGCCACACGGCAACAGTACCGGAGTCGTTTCGGGGTTTCAGGGATTGAGGAGACTCCCGCCAAAGTTGAGCTTGGAGATTTAGGTACTAGTACGGAGTTTGATGGAGACGCTGCGGATCATGATGCAAGCACCGAGAGCACACATGCAGGATACGGTGGCAGATCAAGCGCTCTGCCTCCTGCACATCTAGGCTGCCTGGTGCATCCACCCGAACTACTTTGGAGACCTCTTCACGTACACAGGCCGTTGTTGGTTCGAGCAGTGCCTGAAATCTGCCAGTAAAATACTCGGAAGCCCCCACACAAAGGCCCGACTCTCAATAACCAAATCCCCAGCCAAGAAGTTTGCACCCTGCCTACAGGTGCTGAACCTTCATGGACAAACCCGCCCAACATGTGCCCGTGATCTCGGACCTTTCGCACTCAGCCATCTAGATAAGGTCAGCTATGTAAAGCCGGCAACATTAGGAGGCTCTTCAGATCTCTCCAGCCCACCAGACTCTGCAGGGGCTCGGATTTGTGGCCTCTCAAAGTGCTGCAGGCTGGGCGCTTGCGGCAGGAACCACTTGCGCACTGAGCCTTGTCACATCCGCACTCCGCTCGTTCCGCTCGCAAGGGCCGAGGAACCCAGACCCTGAAATCTGCATGCTCTGCTCACCGAGGAGCATTCTGATCATGATGGTCTTCACCTTCGTCATTGCTGTCGTCTCCAAGCTGCAGCACATGCCCAGAATTTCAAGGGTTTGGGAGCTTTCCGACTGGGGCATCCGAGTAGACCGGCCAAAACAGGATGTGGCTGTTCTAAGTTCGAGGTAGTGGGAAAGATCCGTTTCAGTGATGGGAGGGCAGAGACGTCAAGGTTCCCAACTCCGACAGCTACCTGGCACAGCGCTACCCGCAGGAGCTTGAAGACCAGCAAAGGTGGTGAAGAAGCGCCCACCAAGGCTCTTGTGCAACAAGCCTAAGAGCAGACAGCCCTAAGAGCAGCCGGATATCCAAGTGGAAGATTACAACGCCCCTCTACTTGCGCCCGAAGTGAAAGAAGCGTGTCTGCATGGTCTCCGTCCACCACCCACCCACCCACACCCACCCACACACACACACACACACCCACACCCACACACACCCCCACACACACACACACACACAAA